CCAAAAACGCAAAATCTGCAATAAATGCATAACAAACTTCAGGAAACAAAATATGCAAGAAACATTTTGTGTGTTTTAGATAGGCAGCCCCCGTCTAAACATAGATCTTTAAATGTTGATTATGACGGGAGGTTATCCAATACCATATCCAACATATTTTATATGATATGTAATAAGTGTAAGATCGTTTTTCATTTTCTGCAGTTTTTTAAAGAAATATTACACCCTGATGTATTGTGACGACAAATATCTCCTTAACCACATCACCCACATATGTGAAATTTTGGATATGGTTTTGCTAATAATTCCTTGAAAGTAAAATCGAAGCTTTTAAAACATTGGACATCGAGAATATAGTTAGGCTGACTGCTTTTTGAACGCCCCTCGTAACATGGCGAGTGAACTTCAGTCGATGACATATTTACCACAATTAATGACATTTTTAATCAAGACATGATCCCATCACATCAATGATATGTGTGTACTTATTTGTCAAACCTTTTACCTTCTTACAACCAATCAGTAGGTCAGCGTTATAAGAATGACTTACCAATATATCATTAGGTATATTTGTCGCTCAAAGCCCAAACTGATAGCGTGTGCTTGTCTAAAATGTACGTGTATGATACAGGACAAAATGGAGAATTCCCTTAGCTCATTGGCATATATGTGGGCGGAAAAAATGAGACCGGATGTTGACGTTGTGTTTCTAAAACTTAACAGTTCAGCGTTCGAAATTAACGTCGGTCCTTAGGCCCGAAGGCGATTGAAAACTACCCACAGCTTCTGTTTTCTGTAGGTCCTTATGGCAGACAGCTCTTTCATTCCCAATAATTAAGAATATGTTTTTCAGAAAATACCATTCAGTAATTTCTAGTTGTCATCCCGGTCAGCAGCTGTTGAAACGACTATCATTTACCGGGAAGCAACTTAAATTACTGAGATATGATCTTTTAACCTCGAAGAAGTTATCCATTAACTCTTTAACTCAGTTTGTTAGTTGTCAAAATTTTTGTTTGCTGGGAATTATTTATATTGTAGCAGCAAAACTATAGGGCCTACACACTCTGATCGGGACCCACAACCTTTCATGGTTCTGGCTGCTTGTGGCCTGCAGCTTTTCAGGGTTAAGGGGAAACACCGTAGCAGCTCGCTGTTTTCTGCCTCATGGCAACTAGGACATCCAGGTCTTTAAACGAACGCTTTAACCACTAGGCTACCCCACCACCCACTACAGGAGGAAAGCCTAACATTATGCTTGTCTGAAACGTTTACCTTTTTAATTAAACCCAATATCAAAGGTCTGATACTGAGACACCTACAAACCCGATTCGGTGGAACCCACAACCACTATCAATAGCCTGCAAAGGTGTACAGCGAATTACGATGTCTGGGCCTATCGTTAAAAGAGGAACCCGCCTTTCAGGCTCAGTCTGTTTCTAATTTCATCTCAGTTTCTTTTTCTCTCCTGACTTAGCTAGTAATCGATGGAGCGTTATATTTTGTTTATTTCTTTCAGACTGCCAGAACTACGGTACCGACTTTGGCGTATACCCTGGTTTCTCCGGGACGCTATCATCTAACTATGTGGTTGGTCCGAGAGTAAACGCAACAGAGGAATGTAAAGATGTGTGTTTGGGGGAAACTAGTTTTGTGTGCGTTTTGGTTTGGGCTGATGAGAAAAGTGACGGGCTTTATCAGTGTGAATATGGAAATGAAACTTGGGAAATGCCTGGGTCATCTGTTGATTACATGCCTTACTCTTTTGGAGTACTCTACGTTCGTAATTGCGCATAGAGCAACATTGATCGTACAGTGAACATCCAGTCTTGTAACACATACTATGGAACGACTATTTGGAAATATTTGCCATAATTAGGTTGTTTTCTCATAAAATTCTGTAAAACAAAGCTTGTATGATACAATGATTTTGTTAACAATGAACAACATCAAAACAACAGTGTAATCTGAAGCTTTAAATAAAGACAGTTACTAATAAATCTGTAGCTCACCCATATGTCTGTGTTACCTTATTTCAAGGACCTGGAATTTAAAGCGTGATCGATATCCTTTGTCCCCTTGTTTTGTTTTTTTTATGTTGGAACACTTGACTTTCCTTTGCATGTGTTTGCCGAATGCACACCGCCTAGGCAAATGTAGCGCTCATCACTGTGCGCATAATAATGAAAATCTTGTGTCTTTACTTTTGGATTATGATTCATATACATATATTCATTCCTCAGTCTGAACCGTGTAACGGCGATACCTCTTTTAGAAGAGTTTCATTTTGGTTGTAGAAGTAGATTTAATTATATTTATTATCATTTCACTAAGACAAAAAACTGAAGAACAAAGTCATCGTCCATTCGTAAATAATGATACATCATAATTTAAGATATCAGCATTGACGGATGCACCTAAGCTAAATGAAATATGCAGTTATGCAACCTGTTGATAGGTTTTCTCGCTTGAATATTCCACTGTACAAATGTGCATATATATGGTATGTATCACGAACTGAAACATTCACTGGACAAAGCCGATGTTACTTGACCACACCATAAAAATGCATCGCTTCAGGTTTCCGATCCTAAAAGCACCCGTAACGCTACGACATTCGTAAACCTATGGTAAAACTTAGTTAGAACAGGTCGTAACGTTATTATGCTTTGAGGATCGGGACACAGATATATATGCAGAGATTGTATATTTCATTCGTACTTCATATTTCTCGTTTGTTCGGACGTCGAAGTTTCATGGAATCATAGAATTAGCACAAAAATACCATTAGTTTGGTGCCGTGATAGCATCACAATGTAACGTAGCAGGACGAGCTGTTGTTACAGGTAACCTAGATTCCACACTGTTCTTGTTGAATGTCAGATGCATGACATTGTTATGATACCCAATAATGGGAGTTTCTCGAAACAGTTCGTGTTATTCATTTGAGTATGGGGAACTCCTTTGAGCTATTTTCCGTGTTCCATCTTCGGATGAAGTCAAAGCTATGCCGCTAAAGACGTCATGCCAATGAGAAAAATAGTCATCAAACATTACTTCCCACTTGTAACAAACATTACGTTTCCTATTTTCATATATATGTTTCAGAATTATCATAGAGTGAATGAGTGTTTGAGATAATATTTACCGTCACATTGGCAATACTTCAACCATATCGTGATGACAACAGGTGCACATGTGCTGAGATGTCACCTGAACGGAAACTAGCGACATATGCATGTCAAAATTACGTTTATGTGAATGATATTTAATTACCATTCTTCAATATCATACAATTATTTTTATCTTGCACATATTCTTTCACTTTGATTACAAATACCTTTTGTCAAGTCAGATTGCTGGGTCTTTTCAGTGCGGGTTAGGTTCAGGCCAGGGTCGGCAAGCACGACGCAGGCCCGATTGTGATGAAGAAATGTCGGAAAACTTGGTATTTGGGTTTAAGTGTCTCGCACAAAATAATGATTAGCGAGCTGACAGAAACAATCGAATCAGCGTGTTTTGGTGTGGGTTTTGTCGTAACCGGCGTTTGGGTGTTAGTAAACCCTACCACAGTTACCTATTAAGTATTATTTTGTGCTTGTACCAGCAGTGAAATAAATACCTTGATACCATTTTATGCGTCACAAGTCCTTGTGGCGTGTAGGGTATTTTCACAGTTGACGCAATGTTTACATTCACGTAATGCACGGTATTTTTAACATTTTAAAATCTACATTAGAATTATAACTAAATTATTTACATTTACATTAAACGGAAACCTTTAGATCTACACTACGGTCCGTAGTCTCCAAATGAAAACGGTCAGTTGCAAAAAAGCTCATAGTAGGAAATAATCTATTGAATTTAAGTAATTTACATGGTACCGGACACCTGCACCCAACAATATCTACTGTGTGCATTTGATCATTTCAAAATCATCCCTGGAACAACAGGGCAAAACACATCGGTGCATTAGAACCATCCACAAAATACTCCCATCAAAAGTCAAAACATTTGACAAACAAGTAATGTTGATTCTGAATAACGTGGTTGATAATATTATTATTTTTATTATTGTTATTATGGGATATTTATATAGCGCACATATCCAGGCAACTAGTGCATGCTCAAGGCGCTGTTTGCACGTATTCATGTGGCCACCATTTGGTCATATACCAAAGGATTCGTGGGTTCTTTTAAGTGCACAGGGTTGTGTACTGTACACTAGGGGTTGTGACAACACTGAAAGAGTCTGCACACAAAGTTGACTCCAAGGTTTTTACACCCGGTCACAGGTGGGCTCGATCCCGACACCTCAACCTCGCCGGATTACTAGCCTGGCTCGCCCACCGCGCCCATTAGCTTGCGGCATACCTGACCTTGACAGTGAAAATGAGAAAGGATGAGTTCCATACTTGGAAATAACTGTTTAGACGTCATTCATTGACGTAATGATTCGGTTTGGAGTGGGAGTACTTTATTTGAAATTGTACTATATACGCTTACGATTCTTGCTTAGCTGTCAGATAACGTACAAAAATAAAATATAGAAGAGAATACTATTTCAGGAGAAATAATTATAAGCTTTGATGCATTTGCAATTCCCCGTGACCTGACTGCAAATGTTCTTAACATATCGGACCTTCGTACCCACGTTTCATTTCGCGTTCCCACGGACAAGTTTCCGAAGCTGTCTTGATGCTATGGAAGAATGGTGGAAGGCTACTGTGTATTCTGAAATGGAGCTCGTTTCACCGAAGGACGAATACCTTTTTAGTGTCATCTCGCAGAGGGTTTGTCTCCTTCGTGAATCATGGCCTACATATGGCGAGTATTTTTCCATGTGAGCTGGATGGAATGATTGACGGGAAACAGTGCAAGAATTGTCTCGAGGAAGTGCCGCACATATGTGTATCAGCTGAACCCACACAGCGCACGTTTACTTTTTAATAGCATACGTGTTGCTCGCATTCTCTGCAGCCTCGGGAACTTCACACAAGTCTCGTGGGTTACGCTTTGCATGTACTGAAACCTTCACGTGTCGCAATCCACAGAATACATGCAATGAGTATGTCATAGACAGGTTAAAGAACAAACAGAAACGAAAAACCTTCTTCGTAGGTTCACTGTGTGAAGTTGGCGCTCGTCCACTGAGACAGGTAATGGTTTTTTTTTCGTTTTTCTTTAGAAGGAAGACACCTATTCTGTTACACTTAGAAGCTGTGGAGGGGTAACGATGGGGTTCAGACGTGGTGTATGCCTTTAAGTCTCTTAGATGTCTACAAGGCATGATTAAGGGTACTTTACAATTTAATATGTTAGTAAGTAGGTATTTTAGCATTTACCAGCATGCTAAAATATTTACTTAGTCTTATCAATGATATATCTATTTAACATGATAGTCGTTTTGGTATGGTAAAATTACGAAACAGTATTACATTTAGATCATATTTTCTCTTCTTCTTTTTATAACGGGGGAGGGGGGCTGTGATGGAGGGGGGAGCCTAGTGGTTAAAGCGTATACGCCGAAGACCCGGGTTCGATTCCCCACATGGGCACAATGTGTGAAGCCCATTTGTGGTGTCCTCCGCCGTGATATTGCTGGAATATTGTGGCGTAAAAACAAACTCACCCACTCATTTTTTATAAGGATTGTTGAAGCATATAAACATATGGGTAACTGTTTCGGCCGGTTTAATGTTACATTTCCCGATATCATATGAACACTGCTGGCGATGGGCATTTTCCTAAACGAAGACTCACTATAATGTGAAGGCATAGGATAGTTATGTCATTTCCAATTGCACATTTATTGAAATTAAGGTTCAGTTTGATATGGGCGCGAATAACTGACAACGGTATTTCCAACGTGAAAACTAATGTATTCTTTGTGCAATAGAGCTTCGTTACAGATGTGGTTTGAAAGTCGATAACCTCCTGCAGATCCCACAGGCCCTCTGGTCTTTGCGAGGATTAAAGATTAAAACAAACATTGAGATGACCCCGATTCTAAATGCTTCACAGTGCAATAACTGATGATGTATTGAACTGTGAAGCATTTCGAGTCGGGGGTCATCTAATTTGTATCATTCGAAGCATGATATTTCAAATGTACAAATGTAAAATTAATGTATAACACTATCCCCGTAACTTCATTGCATTATTGACTACAATGTCTCCTGAAACAACCCAACAAATATACAAACTGACTTTCTTTCATGACCAAATTTATGGAGGTGACATGTGACAGGTAAAGATGTATGCGAACGGTGGGTTAGCCAAGTGGTTCAAGTGTCCGCACCGAGGACCCGGGTTTGGTTCTCCACAAAGCTACAATGTGTGAAGGCCATATTTGGTGTCCCCATTGTCTAGTGATATGGCTACAACACGACTGACTTGCTCACTGAGAGTGTATGTATTCTTTTCCAGATGTGTACTAATTTGCAAATAATTCACTTTTAGCAATAATTCCATCAATATCGCGGTGAATTTGTCAATAACCTCTTGCACTACGCCATTGCGGACATACACTGATGCACCGTAAAAGATTTGGTGACAATATAAAGAGTGCATGTGTGAGTATGGCTTTACGCAGCTTTTTTAAATATTCAAGCAAAATTACGGCGGGGTACACCAGTAATGTACGAAAGCCTAATGCTGCCACTTTTGTAGCACAATTTTGTTTTCTGCTACAGTTATTGTTGCTTCGACTATTCACTCGTTAATTCGAGTATTTTCTCGTTATTTCAATAATTTTCTCGTTACTTCAATTTTTTCCTCGTTACTTTCTATCAAAAACTTGAAATTTCAAATTTCATTCAAAAACTTGAAATTTCAATTTTTTCTCGTTACTTCAAGTTTCTGTCAAAAACTTCAAATTTCGAGTATTTACTCGTTGCTTCGAGTATTTTCTCGTTACTATAATTATTTGTTCGTTGCTTCGATTAATTTCTCGTTGCTTAAAATATTTTAAAAAGAAAACTATGACTACATACTGAGAGTCACGTAGAAAAATCACCGTCTTGTTGTTATGTGTTTTCCTTGATATGTCTATGTGAGAAGGTCACTTGCTTCTCTTAGAGTGTGACGCCCTGGGCAGGAAGTGACAGTGTTTTGACTCAATTTTTTTACTTAATTGAAATATTGAGGTTCCCTAATTAACCATTATTACCTCATGCTGAATCAGCACAGGCCGTTTATGTTAATGCAAAGTGGATATTGGCTAATGTCAGCGTGTAAATGTGACATGTTTAAATATATGTTAAAGCTCTTACCGCTATGTTAATTTTCTAGAGTTACTGCGTAGTGTTTGGAGCAAACACGTTGCGTAAAGTGATGCCATCCTTTCTATATCATCAAAATAGTATTATATGTGTTTGGCCTTGCCCGGGCTCCCAAAAGCACATTAAACCTCACACATGTAACCAGCATTGAATGGTATAACTATAGAATGGTATTGGATCTGCCTAAATATCAGTTTGTATTGTTACAAAATGTCACATGTAAAGATGATTGGTCCGTTAAAATGAAGCCCTTTTCCATCTCCATTCCAAACATAGAGTCAATAAAAAGTGGATAGTCTATGAAACACACACACACACACACACACACACACACACACACACACACACACACACACACACACACACACACACACACACACACACACACACACACACACACACACACACACACACACACACACACACACACACACACACACACACACACATATTTCCCCTTGCGAGATGTTGATTTGTTCTTTAAAACCATATCTTCTTCTTTCCTGACCCAACTGACAGCTGCTTTATCTGCCACCACTAAGCGGTCGGTGAAGGTAAGATACTTGCAACACATGAAGTAGCAACATTCTCAGAATGTGTTGCGTCAGTGACAAATGGTACACATTGCAGTTCCCTATTAAGACTTGTACCATACGTTCCCTAATCGTTCCTAGGTGAACATTACCCTAGGATGTCCATATGGTGGGACAGGATACGCATACCTTTTCGAGAACACCTGATATCTAGTGATTCATAAACATATGCTCCGTCATTATATCCACCGAGGAATTGTCTGGTCTAGACTCGATTTTTACAGTCATATGGCAGGTATATTGCTGAAAGCTGCGTTAAACAACAAACAAAACCACACACTTGAAACAAACCGACATACACACACACACACACCATCCATCCCCCTACTAACACCCCCCCCCCACCCTCAAACAACACCCAAAACAAATGCTCATAATATAATCGGAATGTGTACTATCGACTCTGCTTTTCTAAGAGATTTCTTATGGATATGGAACGGGCTTTGTCGCTATTATTTCATGTGGTTCGTTTGCATGGGCGATTTCTTTTCTTTCTTTACTTTTAAAAACTGACGCAACGGACGAACTGAGTGTATCCATACTACATGTATATGTTGACAAACATATCGGAGTGTGAGTGATACATAGTACTATGATTCGTACGTGAGAGGGGTTTAAAAGACATCAACACAAAAATACTATCTTATATTAGGCAGGTTGTTCGCCTGTGTTTCTGGCATACTTTTTAAATGGTAACATTCGATGGGATTCGATTTGATATTTGTCATGGAACGCTACAGTCAAAACAAATATGAAAACAGGGATTCATATGACTGTGGTCCGATGACTTGTGACATGCTTAGAATGAGGCTAAGGGCCCCTCTTTGAGCAACGTGATCGTTTAAATTTCTTCAATCTGAGACTTCATGAAGAAGTTTTAGGTGGATATAACTAGATATATGTACATTTCAGGATACATGTGCGATGTTAAAGTTGTTGTTGATGGCCCGGGACAAGTCAGAGACTTAGCACTTTTGATAGAGGTTCTAATTCTGATGTAGTATTTGTAAAAAACCTTTCCGGGCCGACTGAAATGTATATGGGGATTGACTTAAGTATTTATACGTTTTGAATCCTGTTTCGTTTAATGACTTCTCTTTTAGTCGTAACCTTGCTTAGTCACTTCACAGGCCACTCGTCTTTCTGAGTTTTAAGCGATTTATTTAATAAGGTTATAGTGACACACGTGTGTGGCTTCTTGCTGCCCATATTGTCGTGGGTGTAAGCTGGATTAATTAATTGTAGACATGGTTTTCGATAGTAGCCAATTATATACTTGGCCCTCCTTCAACTTTCTTTCAGAAACTTGAAGCAACGAGAAATTAATCAAAGCAACGAAAAATATTTGAAATAACGAGAACGAGAAATTCGAAGCAACGAGACAATATTCGAAATTTCTAATTTTGTCAGAAACTTGAAGCAAAGAGAAAATATTCGAAGCAACGAGAAAATATTGAAGCAACGAAAATTAATCGAAGCAACGAAAATTAATTGAAATAACGAGAAAATATTCGAAGCAACGAGTCAATATTCGAAATTTCAAGTTTTTGAAAATTAACTTGAAGTAACGAGAAAATATTCGAAGCAACGAGAAAATTTCAAGTTTTGACAGAAACTTGAAGTAACGAGAAAATATTTGAAATTTCAAGTTTTTGATAGAAAAGTACCGAGAAAAGAACTCAAAGTAACGAGAAAATATTCGAAGTTACGAGTCAATATTCGAAATTTCAAAAGAAACTAAGTAACGAGTAAATATTCGAAGCAACGAGAAGACAGAAACTTGAAGTAACGAGAAAAATTGAAATTTCAAGTTTTTGATAGAAATTTGAAATTTCAAGTTTTTGATAGACACTTGAAGTAACGAGAAATTAATCGAAGCAACGCAAAAATAATTGAAATAACGAGAAAATATTCGAAGCAACGAGTCAATATTCGAAATTTCAAGTTTTTGAAAGAAACTTGAAGCAACGAGAAAATATTCGAAGCAACGAGAAAATACTCGAAGCAACGAGTAAATACTCGAAATTTGAAGTTTTTGACAGAAACTTGAAGTAACGAGAAAAATTTTTGAAATTTCAAGTTTTTGATAGAAACTTGAAGTAACGAGAAAAGGACTCGAAGCAACGCAAAAATAATTGAAATAACGAGAAAATATTCGAAGCAACGAGTCAATATTCGAAATTTCAAGTTTCTGAAAGAAACTTGAAGCAACGAGAAAATATTCGAAGCAACGAGAAATTAATCGAAGCAACGAACAAATAATTATAGTAACGAGAAAATACTCGAAGCAACGAGTAAATACTCGAAATTTGAAGTTTTTGACAGAAACTTGAAGTAACGAGAAAATTTTTGAAATTTCAAGTTTTTGATAGAAACTTGAAGTAACGAGAAAAGAACTCGAAGCAACGCAAAAATAATTGAAATAACGAGAAAATATTCGAAGCAACGAGTCAATATTCGAAATTTCAAGAGAGAATGAGAGAAACTTGAAGCAACGAGAAAATATTCGAAGCAACGAGAAATTAATCGAAGCAACGAAAAAATAATTAAAGTAAGGAGAAAATACTCGAAGCAACGAGTAAATACTCGAAATTTGAAGTTTTTGACAGAAACTTGAAGTAACGAGAAAAAATTGAAATTTCAAGTTTTTGATAGAAATTTGAAATTTGAAGTTTTTGAAAGAAACTTGAAGTAACGAGAAAAGAACTCGAAGTAATCAGAAAATTATTGAAGTTACGAGAAAATACTCGAGGTAACGAGAATTGTAGCAGAAAAAAAAATATTTATGCTACAAAAGTGGCAGCATTAGGCTTTCGCAAGAAATGTGCTTCACACATTGTATCCATTATGGAGAATCGACCGCGGGTCTTCGGCGAGACGAGTGAACGTTTTAACCACAAAAGTACTCCTGCCCCGAACACATGAAGAACTGACACATAAATATGACCCATGTGAGCACTGGGGAACACACTTTTACACATATGTCAGTCTTCCACGGCATGCGTGTGAGTTACGTAGTTCGACAGGAAAACTTGCCAAGGACATCCCCGCGGAGTGCCGCACTTATATGCCTGCTAGTACTAACTGAACCTAAACAGCCACGTGTGTATTAACAGTGTAACTTGTGTACCTATGTGTGTGTGTTGGCGGTAGGACTAAAGCTGGCATCCAATTTCTTTTAAGAGAGCGGGGACAGTGGGGCAGTCTAATGGTTAAAGCGGGCGCTCTTCACGCCGAAGATCCGGGTTCGATTCCCCACATGGGTACATTGTGTGAAGCCCGTCATTTTGTACAGAGAACGGGGACGGTTGGGCTAGCCTAGTGGTTAAAGCGTGCGCTCGTCTCGCCGAAGACCTGGTTTGATTCCCCAAGTGGGTACAATGTGTGAAGCCCATTTCTGGTGTCCCCCGCCGTGATATTGCTCGAATATTGATAAAAGCGGCGTAAAACCATACTCACACACTGCCAATCGCGTAATACACCTTACCTTGATTTCCTTTTACTGCAAGAGTCCCATGATCCGTGTCAAAATCGAATCGAATAATAGATGTATGTCGTGTTAACCGTCCTACTTGATACCTTGGATGTTAGCGACAGAATGTGACATCACTGAATGTCAATTTGCTGTGATGATCAGCAGGTTGTTGCACTCCTTATGTCAGAATATGTACTGAACATTTTATCTGTTGTGTATTTGGTGGTTGCTGTAACCTGAAATGTCATATTGATAAATAAGTGCCGTCTCCCATGGAGTATGCAGCGTCTGTAGTTACTGCCTGAAAAGTGTACTGAATCTACATACTTTGGAAAGTTCCTTACGATCAAATTCTCTGTGTAAGAGAAGTATAATTGCATAGATGTCAACAACTTGGTGTAAACTGTAAGACAGGGTAAGAATTGAACCCTGTTTGCCTGTTTGAGTGGTTTGAGAATGCCGAATAGTCAGAATAGATGAAGCCACATTATTCACTTGTGTTTATGCCCATTCCTCTGAAAAATATAAATGTCAAACATTTAGTTACTAAATAAATAAATAAGTAAGCAAATAAATCTTTGTTTACATGTGTGTTTTATAAGGCGGCGCTCAGCAGTAGTCCCGTTATATCATGGCAAAATGTAAAGTGTCAAGTCTGCTCAATGATTGCAAAGTGAGTAAGTGAGTATATTTTTACGCCGCATTTAGCAATATTCCGGCAATACCACGGCGGGAGACGCCAGAAATGGGCTTCATACACTGTACATGTGTGGGAAATCGAACACGAGCGAACGGGAACGCTTTAACCACAAGGCAACCCTACTGCCCCCAATGATTGTAAAGGCAACGATGTGCGTGGTTGGGACAATTCATTCAAGTCAGCGAGCCTGACCACCCGATCCCGTCAGTCGCCTCTTACGACAAGCATAGGTTCAAGTCTAACCCGGATCGTGACGAGTTTCTTAAGTCTGTCTATTTTCAGAAAACTGCCAAATTATATTTTGGAAACAGCTTCGGTGAATAAAGGCGTATTATCAAACCAGTAATAGGATTTCTTTACATTTAAAGGGTTGTCGAGACATAGCATCAACAAGTAGCGTTGGAAGAGAATTACAGACGAGGCACTTCACTATTCTCATCAGCGAGTTGTGTGGAAACAACATGAAGTTTGACACCATTCTGGAGACTGTGGGCGAATTTGGTCCTTCCCAAAGGCGGTTGTATACACTCCTCAGTCTGCCCGCCATTTATAATGCTGCCGTCTGTATGGTCATCTTTGTGTTTCTCTTTGCTGTGCCCGAACACAGGTAAGTTAAGCAAAATTAATTGTTCTTTTTAGCTATTTTCTTAAGGTTTTTGAGCCAGAAACAATGGTGGCCATATTGAAAAGTGAGAGTAAATGGGAGAAGAAATCAGCTCTTTCCATCGAGACTACAGAAAGAACAACTTGTGTGATTGACCTTGTATTGTCAACAGTGCTAAATATTGGCGGTATGGACCAGACACAATAGCTACATGGCCATGGGTTCCACACGACAGGCCTCGAATATTTATCCCAAAGGTTGTAATATATGTGACATGCTCTTCAAGACTTGAACCTAGGATGCATATTCTCTCAACAAGATATTAAAAACAGTGTTTCTTGCGTAGCATATTTCATAACAAATGTCACATTGTTTGCAAATACTTTGTGCAAACATTATAGTTTATATTAGGATTTATCTAACTCACCTTTTGAAACCCGTCACTCTGTATTAACAAGATGACGACCCTTGTATTTTGCATTACAGATGTGCAATACCCGGATTGAATAATGATACCTTCCCGATTCAAAACGAGGCTCATGCTGACCTCATCAACAGGACAATTCCGCTTGTTCTTAATAACCATGGCGACCAAACTCATTCATCATGCATCATATATTCAGCGTTTCCAAATGCATCATCCCGCGATGTGAATACCGACACTGAGCCATGTCATAAGTGGGTATATGATAAAAGCGTTTATCAGACGACAGTTGCCCAAACAGTAAGTATTTCAAGTTGAAGTTATGATATACGGGCTGAAAATGTGGGTAATGGGCTACGTTTCAACAATTGGTTAAAGCCCTTTCCGAGGCTTGGAATTTGCTGTCCCTCAGTCGTACTGAATTCAAAACGTCAATTAACGGGCAACATCATGATGCAGTCATTTGAATTAGTAACTTAGAATACTGTCCATCAAGACTGTTCCATCCTTAAACATAAGCAACAGTGGACAATGAGATGTGCAAACTCCCAGTAAAGGTCACATTATGGGAGAGCAACGCGCATCGTGTGGCCAAGAAGTGCCCAGCTGTGATCACCAGGGCTTCAATAGTGAAATCTTAGTGTAAATAAAGCTTTCCCGTTAAATCTAATTGGTATATAGAGGCTCGTCAACGAACATTTGCAATTGGGCAGTGTAGAGGTCATGAGCTGATGACTGTTTGAGCTGATGTAATATTGCCTTGTGAAGGAGAAATTCAGGATGGGAATATAGATTCATGCCTCTTCAAATACTCCTTGGTACAATAATTTTGAATCATTGTGCATCGATCCGGAAATTACACTGAATGTGGTTTCTCAGCTGTTTGATTTGCTCATCCTGTGTTTCTAGACCAATATCTCGCGAGTCCTGGAGGCACATGTATGTCCTGTACTAGAGACTGAAACCTATAGCAAGAAAAGTAACGATATATTTTATGTTCGTTTACAACTTGTAAAGGTGTTGGTGGCGTCATTAAGACATCTGTCTGTGGCAGCGTATTCCAACTGTGTGTCTCACACCATACAGTGAGTAAGTGAGTTAAGATTTAAAGACACGTCGGCAATATATCAGCCATATTCTGACTCAAAGAAGTTGTACTCTTACGATACCTTACGATACCTTAAAAATGCCATTGACGGACAGTATAATAACCAGCAATATATCACTAAATGTTTAAAACTGAAAGAAGAAACAACACAATATCTGAATATTGGATCAAAGTAAAATTGGGGCTATAGATCACCAGCAAGAAAGGTAAGGTCACAATGCTAGGGGCCATACAGTACCTCTGATCCCTTCATGCTTCCTGAACAAGATGTACACACAGCAGGGAAATGCATGATGAGTGCGACAAACTAGACGGCAAAAAGAACCATATCTGTGTTGCTGTGTGTGTACATTTAAATAAATTCCAACACGCAGATGATATTGCATTAAACCTTCATACTTATTTCTCAGACCCGTGAAGATCCGGTTTAGCGACTGACAGTATCGCTTGGTCGTGATTGCTGACTTCGTTGATGTCATCGTATCTCAACTTCGTAGGTCGATGGTCATGTCAATCCCTGGATTGTCTGGTCTAGATAATTTACATACCGCTGTCAATATTGCTAAATGTTAAAAAACTAACAACGAACAAATCTTAACTTCTCAGATGGACCTTGTGTGTGACCGGAAGCTGTATGTGAGTCACGCTAAGATGATGGCCATGGTTGGCCAACTTATTGGAGTTCTCATTGGCGGCCCCATATCCGACATGTAAGTACTCGGACGCCATATATACTACTTCAAACAAGTATTGGAACACCCAATATGTTCGCAATATCTCTATGACGTCCATCTGTAAGAACCAGAACGCATATAGTACTATCAGTCAATGTATCGTGTAATGATAGGATTTTCCTGATCAAAGAATAGTTAAGGATTTGAATAATATATGTACGTTGTACGGAAGGTGTCAGGGGTCATTTTGAAAAGTCACATGCCATTTCACACAGGCAATGATAAATGTGGCCACCTCGGTTCCTGGCGCACCCTGACCCTAGAGCTCTCACTGATCTGACATTTTTCCTCAGAGTTCCCTGAGATAATGCCAGCCATTCCTGCTGAAGGAAGCCAACGAACTGTTGGTTTGCCGGCGGGGTGTCCTGTGCCATGAAGTCTCCAAAACTGAAGGTCACAGTAAAATTGACGTAACAATCATTTTAATTCAATAGATTACATCGTTATCCCTGGTATTGTAGATCCGATACAACATTGATAATGGTTAAAACTTAATTATGTACCTCTTATGTGAACGAAGAGACACAGACACAAGCACTCTTTGTAAGTAGTCTATGAAATATATTTGATGTTAACACCTTTTATACATTGAAGAAAAGGATTGGCACAAGTTATCAAACTTTATAAAGCCCTCTCCAAATATTAACAACAATTATATTTACATGATATAAATCAAATATGCATTAAACAGTGGAACAGAGAAATATACATGCGAGATCTTGAGTTTGAGAATATGACAGTTTAAGATGAACAGAGGAATCGCTTAGTTTGATTGATGAAATGATGGACATGTTTCAATTGAGAGGCCTACATTGCCATATAAAATAAGACATATATCTAGTAAATATCTATTTTGTAAAATATCAAGACATATATGTTAGCTAACAAAGTTTCTCTGTGTTTCATAACGGGGACAATCCAAGAAATAATGATATATATTTTCATAAGGACATCCACAAGAACATGATGGATCGGTTATAATGTTGATTCTGTACAAATCATAGTTCAGCGTACTTATATTGTATCTTAACCGTGTGTGTAAAATATGTAGCATGCACATACCAGATGAAAAGTATGATGGAGCACTATTACACATTGTTTCAATATTTCTTTTAAATGATGAAATAGAGTCACGGTTTCTTACAGTTGATGAATGTTTTAACCTTGTATTGGGCACAGTATAATTTTCAGCATTACGTAAGTTATAATGAGTCCTATTTCCTACAACAGGTGGTAACAGTTCGTTTAAAAGAGACGGGGCGATATCATTTGTAATCTTATAAAACAAGCATAATTTACCTTTCTTTCTTCTCTCTGATAACAATTTTCATCCAGTCTCGTAATCAAGAACTCTAATAGTCGTTTTTTGGGTAGGCCAGTAACTATTATGAGCTGCCTCAAGCTGTAGTCTTTCTAACTGGTTCGAATCTTCAATCAGACATCCATCCCAAACTTTACATGTATGTTCAAAATGTGGCCGTATCAACAGTGTGTAAATTATTGATAACATTTTCTATTCAATGTATATTTAAGTTTTCTTTTAGAGTTTTTTTCACGATATTTCCGGTGTGACAAGACAAATATATTTCATCTGCAAACAGACACCGCCCATGTCCTTTTAAAGACGGCTGCTGCGTTCTGTGTTGCAGGTTCGGACGGCGGAGAGTCATACTAGTCAGTACACTTGTTTCAATTATCCTGAGCATCTGTCTCAGCTGGATCACGGACTACTACCTGCTCATCACTGTAGTATTAGTCATCGCTGCAAGCAACAACATGCAGTATCTATCTTGTTTCGTGTTCAGTAGGTTCATGTTGTTCACTCCTGCTGTTCGATTTGTATTTGGTAAATCCACGTAAAAGGAGAACCAAGCGGTTCTTCTGCTTGTGGGAAATGAGTTGATACATTGTCATCGGGCAGCTAGGGTGTTGCCTGTTTGTCAAAATAAACTTAACTGGTTTGTATGTGTGTATTTTCCAAGCTTGAGTGTTTGGGAATGCCTTTACAGGCGTCTGGGAACGTAGCTGATCATGGTGTAACGTTAACTCTCTTAAGAAACGGGATAGTTACGATGAACCAAGTTTCAATTCCTGACCTTGCCATGGTTATGCGTGTGTATGCTTGCTTGCGTGGGTGCGTGCGTGCGTATGTGTGTGGTGGGGCGTCGTCCTTACCGCTCCAATCGGCTTAACTAAACTGGTTGGGGAATTGGTAACTTGGTTGGCACCAACTGTGTCAATCAATATTAATACGGATTGAACGATTTATTATTGCTCGACAATAATGAGTGATGTGGACTGTAATCATATGTGCTGCTTGTCCACAGGTATGGAATGTGTCGGTCCCTCCAAACGAATGTTGGTGGGAGTGGCCATGAGTCTATATTGGAGTGCAGGAAACATCATTGCTGCTTTGATGGTCTTTCTGATGAGAGACTGGAGAAGCAGGCAACTTGCAATCAGCATTCCAGGTGTTTTATTTGCCTATCTGTAGTAAGTATTCTTGCTTATATCTAATATTACAATCATTCATCAGAAAAGTGAAAATATTTCTGTTTTACAGATCGTGGGCTGATTATATTTGTTTCTGTTTTATTTTGTTATGACAGTTTGGTTTTACGCCGCTTTTAGCAATATTCCAGCAACATCACGGCGGGGGACACCAGAAATGGGTTTAAACACAATTTGCCCATGTGGGGATTCGAACCCGGGTAATCGACGTGACGAGCCAAAGCTTTAACCATTAGGCTACCCCACCGCCCCATTTTGTTATGAAGACACGGCAATGGAAATGTCCACTACTGACTCGACACGAAACAACATCCAGTAAAGAAAATGATATTGGTTGATTTATCTTTCTTATCATACAACATCGTTGAGCAAAGGTCACACAAACACATTGTTAGAGGATTTTGAACTTTGACAATGGAAGTACATTACAAATTCCATGGGAGCAAACACAACCCAATGTAGGGATGGAATTACACTCAGTCTGTCATTTCATTAATCTATGAAATTATGACTTTGAACACAGTAAACTATGTTCGTCACGAACAGTCGGATATAATGAATTATTTTTGGTTTGGATGTTTGGAGTCGAAATGTGTATAACGAACTGAAATTACTTGTCCCTTTAATTTTGTTATAGCTGTAGTTTATTGTAATTGTAGTTTTCTCACAAATGGACCTTTTCTCCAGATCGCAGATCTTCCAAAGGAAATGAAAAACTACACACAGTCGACTATAATTTAACACCGTCACTTCAAATCAACAAATTTGCCAGCAATGGAAGACACCATCTTTAATTACTACAAAATAATTTGTTAATATGACATGGAGATACCGAAAGTAAGCATATCCTGAAACAGGCGCCACCAAGCCACGGTGTCCTCCCATAAGAACTACATCCCATAAGAACTATAGCTTAAAACAACAAATGTTATGGTCCAGTGCACAGATTAACTACATGCTGTCATCTGCCTCTGCTTAATGGATTTGCGCAACACAAAACATATATAACATTTTTGCTGCGGCCGTTCATGTTGGTTTTGATAGTAAATAGTTCGCCTTCACAAAATGTAAATTTGCAGTCTTCAGTTATGATTGAACAAGTTCCGCATCGAGGTGTTTGACATTTTGTTACACTGACTGATAAATTGTTTTTCATAGTATCACTTTTATACAAAATTGCAAGATTTGCTTTTATAATGGGCATAAGTGTACAGTTATTAGGATTGTAGGTACAAACAAATGGAAGAATGTCCATCTCTGTATTTGTTTCAACAGCATTGTTTGTCGACCCCATCTACACCATCCCAATGGCTTTTTCTCGCTCTTCAGCTGTTAATCGTTGCATATTTCCCGTACTTGTGTATCATATCATGTATTCTAGTCTCTCTTCCTACCTTTCTCTTCATAGAATCATTCTACATGTGAAATGGATGCAAATACTGCTTGCCCATTGCTGCGTTTTGGCGATTGATATTGCTATGTGTAAACAGAAAATAGAAAAATGTTACTTTGCACAGCAAAAAGTTAACAAAGTTAATTTTAGATGTTCCTAAACATTTTTTCACAATATCAAAGACACGTTTTACTTGTTTTTACTAATCAAATCAGAAAATGTTTTAAAAACCTGAAATCATAGGAATGATTATTTTGCAATTTTACACACTTTACAACAGTTGTTTTTTGTTTTAATTGTTGTAAAGGGTGACTTTAAATGGTTTATCTTTGCCTCAAAGCAGAATTTTATTTTATCATTTCTTTTGGACATCTAAATAACTGTTATTGGTATAATTCGGCATGGACGAATATAGGACAATTTAATATATAGGACATCTGAAAAAGATGCATTTCACCTAAATATGAATGCATTTGAGAATTTCTTTTCGTCATTTGCATGAAGCCGTGTTAAGCTTTCTTGTAAACTAATACCTTCTAACATATCTTTGATAGTTTTTCAGTAATTCATAAAGGTAGCTGGGTAACGTTTCTTTTGGCGTTTAGTGTACTAAGCTTGGCTTTTTTTTCTCTCTATCATATGAATACAAGATCATTCACTAACTACAGCATGCCCTTCTCTCTTTTCCTTTATTTTCTGGCTATTAGATTACCTGTACAACATAATTACTGGTCAATAGGATTTTAAGCATGTAGTTCGTCTGGGAGAGCTGATGGGCTGTGTTCATTACATGCCATGGGGGTGTCTCTAATCAAATAATCAATCCCTAATTAATCCCTGTGGTTAATTTGGGATGTAGTTCAAATGGGATGTAGTTCTTATGGGAGTAAACCCAAGCCACACATGCAAAGCCATGCCACGCCACGCGTTAACGATCGTGATCAGTACAGTTCTCAGCTGATTGTTGTTGTGTCCAAGTAAAGAGGTATATTAAGATCCTTTATCATCGCCTAACCCATATACATAAGCACCCGAGGTAACAGGGTAATATTTTCTATTTGCAAATAACGCACGTGTGTTTCCAGTTGTATCCTTTCATAGCGGATCCATGCAAGTGCGAGTACATGGCTGAAATATTGCCCATGGGAGGTTAGATATTACTTCACTGACTCACAAATGCAACGGCCGTAACAGGGCATCATTTGGTATTTGCACACACTTTACAAGCGTATTTTCTTCAGAAGAAGTCCCGACCGCGTCATACCAAAAGACGTTAAAATATGGTACTTGTTAGTCCCAGTCTGGCGCTCGGCATTAATGGGTACAACAAGGACTGGTCGGCTCGGAGTCAGTATAATATGTCTCAGTATTCATGCTTCACTGCGGCATGGTATCTCAGTGGTCTAGCCAAATAAAACCAGCTTAAGTCTGGGCTAGTACAAGCAGCCACACATACACATACACACGCATGCACGTCGTCATATGAGCGAAATATTCTCCAGCACGACGTTAAACCCAATGTCATCTCACCTCACCTCAGAAGAAGTGCATTTGTTATTTTCCAGTTTCCTGCCCGAATCCCCAAGGTGGCAGTACAGTAAAGGGAAAACCACAGAAGCGAACAAAACTGTGATGAAACTTGCTAAGGGAAACAACGTTAGCCTCACTGACAATATGCTTCATGACGTTACGTGCAAACTCGATAAGCACGATGAACAGTTCTGGGATATACTGAAGTCACCTATAATGTTGAAGAGGACACTGATTATCCTATACAACTGGTAAATGCCTTCATTAACATTACTACAGTAAAGTCAGTAAATGTCACATAATGAAATAAATGTGGCCGTGTTCAAACCCAGATTTCATCTGTGGTTGATGATACTTTCAACAGTCAGTAAACATCTTGCGATTTACAATATATAGATCCCACATACCTTCGGACATATCAGTATTTTCTTTGATTATATCATTCCACAGTTTAACTCAATTGAGTGAGTGAGTGAGTGAGTGAGTGAGTGAGTATGGTTTTACGCAGCTTTTAGCAATATTCCAGCAATATCACGGCGGGGGACACAGGAAATGGGCTTCACACATTGTACCCATGTGGGGAATCGAACCCGGGTCATCGGCGTGACGAGTGAACGCTTTAACCACTAGGCTACCCCACCACCCCTTAACTCAATTGAACTTAAGGTTGACACTGTACTTGATAGAGACCTCACACCTGATTTCCAATTATAAAAGAGATTAATGTAATATATACATTCTTTGTATTTTGTTTTTGTTCGATAGGCTTGCAATTGGTATGGGGTTTTATGGTCTCAGCATGAACGTCACAAACCTCTCTGGCAACGTCTACATCAACTACTTTCTGTTTGTTCTGGTCGAGGCATGTGCGTATGTCATATGTCTTCTCCTGATGGACCGCATTGGGCGGAAGAAGATGTTGTGCACTGCAATGCTGATGGCAGGAATAGCATGTGCTCTGTCGTTCGTCCCGTTCTTTGTCACAGAAACCCGTGAGTTTACATGATATACATATTACAATTACAGAATACGCTTCTGTTCCCCAAATGAAGGGGAAAGTATCATATGGCTATGTAGTCATATATGTTGTATGTATTCTTGTACATCATTTCTTCCTGTAGCCAACAAGTGGATCATCAACATTTTGGCGTGTCTGGGCAATACGTGTGTATCAGCAGGATTTGCCGCCGTTTATGTCTTCACTGCAGAGCTGCTGCCCACAACTTCTCGAAACTTTGGCATGGGCATCTCTTCTGTGCTTTGTAGAGTTGGCAGTATATCGTCACCTTATATTAACGATCTGGTTAGTAGTGTAATATGTTCACCACCCGATGCAGGGCTATTGAGAATATGTACCATTAAGATTAATCCATGTCTTCCTTAATCTTGTCAAATTCAATATTGGTCAAATTCACTGATTTGTTTAAATTACCCTATATGTCTTCCCTGCAATGTCATTTTCTTAATTACATAAATTATATAAATATTTTTAATTCAGTAGTGTTTTCCTATCTCGTTGGTGATTGTCATCTTTGATTTGCTTGAACGACCCTAGATGTGTTCCTTCCAAAGTCTTATCCCAAGTTAGCACGTTATATGATCCACTGCCTGTTTCCTTCAGACAATGCACATAACAGGTAGATACAGCCAGATTCTTCCCATGTTGGTTTTCGGGGGTGTTTCATTCATTGCTGGACTTCTCGTACTTCTTCTGCCGGAAACATTGAATGCAGATCTTCCAGAAACAATTAAGGACGCGGAGGAACTGGGAACGTGAGTGTTTGTGTGCTATTTGTTATGCATTAATTCGTCATCGGACACAAAGATAAAAAAAATACTTTTCGAAACTTAGGCAAATGCAAATGTTATTGCTTCGTTTTCACGAAAAGGGGGAAGAAGCATTACTTCTAACATTTGATTATTTTTGACTGTTATGGGTTTCAATTCAGCCGTTGTACATAGGGTTGATGTAGAAACGAGATCTACACACGTTATGGTTTTGATGGTTTTTCTTATACTAGTATTCAAAGGGCGAAACACACGAAATCATATTCCTGTAAAGATAGTTGAAAATATCATTGTGATCCACATATGAAGATGAAGATGATAACTTGTCTATTCACGAATCCGACGTGTGCTATTTATGGGCATTGAGGTAGAGAAAAGCCTCATTGGCATGATTTGTTTTACAGTGCATACATTGTAAAACGATAATGGTTTAGAGTAGCGCAATGTATTATCAAAACACATGTATACGAAAGTAGTTTCAGGGACGAAGACATTATGGTTTTAGTGTTGGGCTATTGCCATTTAATAGTGATTCCTTAACATGTTCTAGTCGGAATTGTAAACCTCATTGAATATGGTTAAAAATTAGTAACATATTATGTTCTTATATCTGATTATTTTTGTCCAACAGAACTACTAATCCGGAGCCGCTTCCTCTTGACAGTGAATGTGACAGCAGAATCACAGAAGAATCTTGACTTTTGGATCCGAGATATCTAAGCATTTCAGTTATTTATCACCCAATCCAAGACACATTACCTTAGTTTTCAGTTGACTTTATATTTGTGTTAATGTTACGGCTACAAGCTTGTCTTTTGTTAAAAAGCATGTTTAATCCCATGGTTAATCTCACATTCTTAAAATACACGTTCATTTTAGACATGAAACTTTGGTTCAGACATTACAAGCACCTTTGCGTCAATATCTGACACACTGAAGTCATGAGGCCTTATACCTATGTAACCAGGTCTACTGGGCGCCATTCTCCCTGACGAATTTGGTGAAATTGCAGTATTCATGGTTGCTGTTGACGTAAATGCCTGGCGAACTCATACTATAGACGTCTTTAAGTGGCATTTATGGCAGATGTTCAGTTGGCTTGAAACCCGGTGAAAGACAATTGTTATGCTGAACCATGGCGCCTATCAAGTTGCCAAGAATGCGACCAAGATATGTTATTTGCCATTCTGAATAGCTTCAAACATCATGTGTTCCCCCTACTTGCTCGACTTTATGTAAAAGGTTACTTCATCGTTGATTCCGCTATCCGCTTTGAAGAATATAGCAGGATTCATCACTACACCAAACGTTGTACCAAAGTTCATGATGTCTGTTATGATGCAATCAACACTGTGATTACCCATAGGTAAACTGACGCCTTGCTTGGATCTGGCCAGCTCAAAAGTGGCTATGTTTGCAGCTGTTTTGTTATGTGTTATGTCCAGTTTCGGTGTTAAATGGCCTGGATATAGCGACTCTCGGCTCATGCAGGGATATGGTCTGGCTGAGCAACTTTAAGATGCATCGCCACTGATGCATAACATCCACCGGCTTCAGTCAACCAATGGCACTGCTCTGAAATACCATGACAATAGTTTTCAAATGGCCGCTTCACCGTCTTTTCTTAACAGAGTGATGTTTCAACACGATATCGCCAAATAATGTGTTACCCGGGCTCCCCAAATCCCAATTTGTTACCCGGTGAACAGGTGTAGGATGAAATGGACCGACGTTTACAACGTCACCCGAATCCAACAACAGGTAAATCCTTCCTCGTGTATTGAATGACCTTCAAGGACTTTCTTGGGAATCGCCTTTTGTGGTGTGGCTCATTACACACTTTTCATGATAATTATATTTCTCCACATTAAATATTGCAGTTATATTTGACATAACATTTAATTAGTCAATATACACAAATATTTATCATACCAAATTCTGTAAAATGTAATCAAATGGAACTTTCCACAGATAAACATAGATTGTGACCGAATCTGGTCTCGTACAGAGAAGGAATGAACTACGCAGTACTTAGGGTCAGTTGTCCATATTGAAATTCTCTTGAGATACTGTTTCATGGTTCCACCCGTTGAGGGCACAATTATTTCTACAGTCTTTATGTATTCCAAATAACTTGTTTTAATTGGTTGTAGTTGTTAGATTTTGTTTCATTTTTAAAAAGAATTAGATTTGTTAACTGATTTGTAAATAGATAAATATTTTATGATTGGAAGTTTGCATTAATAACTCAGATTGTTCGTGGCTGTATTCTCAAGGGGGGAGGGGGTGGGTGTTAAAGTACTGTAAAATGAATGTCCTCCTCAGAGGATACATAAGTCCGACAACATTCAAAGTAAATTTAAACTATCCCCTTTTTTAATCGTAGAATATATGTTCGTTTAATTTGTGGCTAGATTATCTAAAATTGCTGAAAGTCCCCAAACTTTCAAAGTGAAATTAAACTGACCAGATATTAAAAATGTAGTATTTTTGTAATTTTAAATTATGGCTAGATTTGCCTACAATCGCCAGTGGTTGAAGGGATGGTGTAAATCCAGCTAGAGTCCATGCAGGAAGCAAATGTACTGTAAGTCCCCCTGGTTCCTAGTATGGTGATCTACCTTCAGTTGTTGGCAATATATAGCCTGTTTTTATATTGTATTGTCATCTATAGTTAAACTGTTTTAAATTTAATTACTAGTTTTAAATTCGAATCTGTGACAATCTAGTTATTTTACTGTCCTTCGTTGACAGGTTTTTAAAATTTACCATTAATTACTATGTATAAAATTAATTGTTCTCGTCACGATATGGCTGAAATATTGCCGATGTGACGATAAATTTTAACTCACTCACTGTTAGATTCTGTAATTATTTAATTTTGTTTATTTATGTATCATTTTACAGTTCGAAATTGCGTATTTATTAGGAATGTTTATTACTATTAGCTATGGTTTGTAGCTCGAGAAACTATAAACAAATGTCTGACTTGCACATGGTATCTCACATACTTCTGGCCTATTCTTTACCCCAATATTTATAACATATTTACGAGTGTGAATCAGACCACAATGATTCAAGTTATTTTCAACGAATTTGATTATATATTGTCTTGATTATAGTAATTTCTTTTTTAAATTATGTTAAGATACTCGTATCAATGTTGGTAAAATGCGTAACATTAATATGCATGAATGGTGGTTAATGTAGCATTCCGGAATTTTGCTATTATTTCTAAACTGGCTCTCTTTTTGAGTAGTGTGTTCTCGTTTATAGTCTTAAATATATGTATTTGCTTTTAAAGAATGTTAATGAAATCTCAGCCTGTTTTGTTTTTGTTTATATTTTCTAAGTGAGAGCCGACTAAATGTGTAAAAGTGTTTGCTACGGAGGACGGGAGACCAAGGTGACAGATTATTTGCCGAATGCACCGTTTCTCGTCCTCACTTCAGTTTGGGGGTAGAATGGACCTGGTCCTTGCGACCAGCTTCCAGTGCAAGGTCCTGTCTATACCTTGCACTTTTACAAAAAAATCACATTTGTCTCATGCATATATGAGGGTTTTGTCCGAAATGTTCACGTAAGAAATCTCGACTTTCGATTTGAAGGGCCATACATTAATATTAATTAATTTTAATAATTTAATAATCCGCCTGCTTGAACATGGTAGTCCGATGTACTTGGTGCTGCCTGTTTGATGTCCACAAGAATACTTGAAAGCACAGCAATCTACCCTTAATAATTTAATAATCCGCCTGCTTGAACATGGTAGTCCGATGTACTTGGCGCTGCCTGTTTGATGTCCACAAGAATACTTGAAAGCACAGCAATCTACCCTTGACACGTTTAAAGTTTTAGCTGGGTGTTACTAAAATGTAATTTATTCATTATATATAGTGAAATACACTAAAACAAAACACAAACATTGACTATAATATATATTAAAAGAAAGTGCACTGTTGCTAATACCAGTAGGTTACAGAATTATTTTGAAGGTAATATGAATATACATCTTGCAATCATGTAGTTTTACCTCTGACAGTGTTATGCATATTTAAACGCAGGCACATATGTGACTGAGTGAGCAATGATGAGGAAAAGGGCATTTTAAGAAGTTGGGATTTCTTGTTGATTTGAATTGATAGACATGACAAATGCGTTCATAGTAATGTGATTTCCAGAAATTCAGAGTTTGAAATAGATATGAAAATAATTGCAATTAAATTCTGAAACATGTCCAAGGTTTTAGACAATTCCAAGGTTTAGACAAACCAGTATGACGCAATCCAACACTGAAACGCAAACTAAGCAAATGACATATATTTCATCACATTATGTCTATAAAGGTTTTTATAATTATTAAACATTCTTTACAAATCCACGATGTTTTAGCTCTTTTGGTGATTTTCAAACCTTAATTTACCTTAAATGGTAAATATTTTAACATTGAAGTGGATAAGTACCCTTCAGAGCCACCTTCATGATATAGTACAGAATTGATTTATGTGATATCATGATATGCATAGCGCACATTCATGCAAAATCCATAAAGTCTTTCATCAATATGGAGATGTCCACGAAATAATCCTGACGATCTCTCCCCAGTCGTGCGGCTCAGTCAGCTATCGACCTGAAATCTATCGGCTCTTGCAATAACACTGATTCTTGACGCTATTTCAAGTAATTATAAAGTGCTAAAATGTAAATATTCAGCTCGTGCAATGCATGGTCATTAAAATATCTTTTAGAAATGATTAAGTTCGATACCGAGGGACAGTTTATTTGCAGCAGTTATGTTTATTAAAATTTCTTTGTCTTTAACCCCAGCTTTAAAGAACAAATAAACTTTGTGCTTCACTCTTTTCGCTATTACATATGAAAGAAACCACAGACGGAACACCAAATTCATTCTTAAAAAACTCTGGTTAATTAATACCGAGCGATTAAAAGTTGCCAAAAGTCGCCTGCTTCACTGACGCCAACGAAACCACAGACACGTTACGTAACTCTGTCGCTAGAGTTAGTTGTATGAGGAACGATTTTCAGTTAGTTGTATAGAAAGTGTGTAGCACGCTCATCATTTTGATGATTTCTCGACATCAACGACGACATGCCGAATCGTTGCTTTGTCGTCAATTGCTCCTAGGGGTCGGGCGATGGTGTCACCATGCACAGATTTCCACAGGACCCCGCAGTTCGTGCTAAATGGGTTACTAGTATGTTTGTGAGTGCGAAGCGAGCGTTGTGGAAGCCTGAAACGATATCTTACTTGTGTTCAGATCGCTTCACGGAAGTTAAAGAATCAAAACTACTTACTAGTTGTTGTAAAATATGTATATGATTGATGACCATAAAGATTTTCCATGACACAACTTGTAACATAACGATTTCTTCCTCGGAAGCGAGGTCGAAGTAACAATAATATTGTAAGTAGTATTATATTGACACCCACCTCGCTGCCACGAGAGAAATTGTTATGTTATAAGCTATGTCATGCAAAATCCTATTGGCCATCAATCAAATACATATTTTACTACCAGTAGAAAGTAGTTTTGATTTTGTAACTCGGTGAAAACAAACCTAAATAGCATTTATCCTCAGACTGGCGTATGTTCGCGACAGGGCGCCGCCATTTTTGAAAATCGTAAAGTGACGGGCTAAAGTCTGTTAGAATTAATGAGATTATGGTTTGTTTTCATCAAGTCAGAAAATCAAAACTACTTTCTACTCGAAGTTAAATATGTATTTGAATCATAACCAAAAGGATTTTGCATGACACAACTTATAACATAACGATTTCTTCCACGGAAGTGAGGTGGGGGTCGAAGTCACAATACTGCGCGATAAATTTCTTGCTACATTCACATGGTTAACGTCCACTCACCAGTATGTAGATACTAGTCAATGTACGTCTTTATATTTGCTCTTATAATCCTAATTAGTTTAAACTTGTATGCATTTTGAAACTAAATAAAAAGCAGACGATCTGCTGATACTTATAGTGAATTTATAACAGAACTGTAATATCTAGACATTTTATAGTTTGCCAATGTGAATCATAATTCGCACACACACCCTAGTGTATGTTGTCTGTCTCATTACACTTCACGGCGAAAACAATGATTCTGTTGAATGCTACGACAAATGAATAAAAACAAAATGCAAATATTAAAATTAAAACAGATTAAAGTTATAGGAACAATGTCAGGCTATTACCTTGTTCGAGGAATGTATCTATCAATATCCACAAAAACGAGTGATATGCCATTCATCTGCAGCTGTTCCAAGTGATGTGTCTTTTAACAGTTTAATATACGAAAAAGTGATAAATCTTTTCAGGTATTTCACATTGGTGTATAGTCTCATTGGTCACCCAAGATAGCACACCTGGCAACTAATTGCATAATGTCCTCCTTTCTTTAAAAACAGTAATTTACTTAGCCAATAATGGGCAATCAATCAATGTATTGCCGGTTAATCCTTTGAAAGAAGGACGTTGTTTTTACGCAGACACCGACACGACAGAGTGTATTCAGTATAGATTAGTAAATCTACATACATAAACACTACCTTTTGACCAATCCGCTGTGTAAAATAAAAGTAATTAATCAATCAGCGTGTTATCGGTTAATCCTTTGATCGATGTTTATAATGTTGAGTATTTACTCCAGACACAAGAAATGCCAAATGGGAACCTTTGTCGGGTAATCTTAGTGTGTTACCACTAATTATACCTGTTATAAATTCATTAACTGACCATCAAGTGAATGATGACAAATAACATGTGTAGGTTTATACC